AAACGGATGAGAATCTGGCTAAATGGCACGCCCCCTCTGTGTTATGGTGGTAACAGTCTGGTAGTCCACCGAATGTCTCTTCAAGAGATGACTTTACAACCAAAGATCTCGTACAAAATGCTGCTGGACTTTCTGTGCATTCCTATCGTGTTTTCCATTACGTTGACTCATAATTCCATTCATTCCGTGAGAGCAATTCGTGTTGTCAAATGAAGGTTGAGGGCTATGGCGACAAATGTGAACAAATTGGAATGTTCGGAAATACATACATATAGCACGTCACGGGGAAATGCTTTCTGGATCTTTCAAACAACCCTTCAACATAACGTATGTGTGCAATCGCCACTAGAAAACATCCATTTGCCATGGAGCAGGTAAAACCAGTCTTATATGGATCAATTACGTGGTCGTGGTGAAAATAGAATCGATTGTAGTTTGGCGTGTAAATTTTCCATCACGGCAGTTTTTCTTCCTCATCCTCTATTCCTTTCTAGACTAAGTAGCGATACGGTGGAGAAAACTCGAGTTCACAAGATCGTAGATCTTCCAGTCTGTGACTACAAAATTGGACGCGGTGCATTTATAATCGCGTAGGACATCTTAATTTTGTCAAAATCGGCAGAAAGGGTTAGACGTGGAGCAGAGAAACCAGGGTGGTTAGCTACATATTTCCAGTTTACCGTTGTACCTGCCCCCTGCTAGGCTTAGTACCGGAGGATACCCCGGTTTCCTGCGATAGCGCCTAGAATTTGTTCCAGAATTGCTAATAAAGGAAAGCTGATGTGAATCGTCCGATCATGGGATCTGAATTCCGAGAATTGTATTCGAATTAATAGAAAAACAATTTGTCTCGGCCGGGGCTCGATCCCGAACTTCGTGCTTTTTGGTATGAATGATGCTCATTACGCCATCGAGACTATATTTCACCTACTCGGCCTTCGGATGCATGTACTGAAACGTTGCGACTTCGATCTGCTTGCTCTACTGAAGGACGTTTTTGCCTGTAGTTCGTGATATTAAGGCTGAACGGTAAAGGATAAAGCACTCGCCATTAATGAGTCCTATTTTCGGGACGCGGCACGATTCCACTTCCATTTGTACATTCGTAGTGGCAATTTGAGTGGTTTTATCCTCCAGACAAGTGTGGTACCATTTAACCGGCT